GCCCTGCCGGCCCGCATCGGCGCCGAGCGCGGGACACACCCAGCGCCGGAGAGGCAGAGGGGGCCAGGTGGCCCAGGCCGCGGAACGCGGAGCAGAGCCCCGGCCGCGCAGGGTGTGGGGAGGGGGCCTCCACTGTTGAGTCTCTTCATTTCCCTTTTGATTATTTCTTGGGTCTGCGCTAGAGAAGGACATAATAAGCTACTCCCATGAAGGACAGGCCTTAGCTCTAGGACCCCATTTAAGTGCATATCTGTAGTCTGCTATAGATCAGTGGCCTTTCGCATGTCATGCCATTCTCAGTTCACTATTTAAGTCCCAGCCCTCTAGAACCTGTCCCTCTCAAAGAAGGTATCTGAGAAGTGGAGCAAGCTCAGGGGCTCAGTTAAACCCCTACCTCTCCGTAGTAAGTGGAGCAAGTTCAGGGGCTCAGTTAAACCCCTACCTCTCCGTAGTTATGCAGGTGCCCTGCAATGCTGGTGCCATTTCAGACCTCAAGTTTGCTTGAAAGCAAAGGATTGTGGGCTTGGATGTTTAGGATCTTGAGGAACTGAGGGCTGGGAAGGGGGATTGTGTGTGGTAAGACCCTGTTGAGGGTGCTTCCTTCTGTGTTTTTCTCATGTGTTTGTGTGTGCACTCGCTCATTCAAACAAATGAGCATTAAAAAAAAAAAAAGAATCACTGTTTAATTTCAGGGAAACTATTGTCTACTTCTCACGAAAGACTGAATATAAAGAGTCCAGCAAAGACTTCCTATATGTAGACCTTAATTGTTCTCTAACATGGCGTAGTCAGTCAGTCTTCAATTATATTCGCCGTAACCAGTGTCTGGCACAAGTATATCCTTTTCAGTGGGACTCACACCTCTGTCCACCAGACTTTTGCATGCTTTAGAAAAAGACTGGGATAGAGTGGGGTGGAGGGTGGCTTTTAAAGAAGGTGCAGGACAAGGGCAGCCTCCTTTATCAAGGACCACAAAAGCAACATTGTAGGACTGGATGGATGAAGTAGAGGAAATACTGAGTTTGAAGGAAGAAAATCAGAGTTTATTACTAATACTAATAATGATTCCTGGGACTAGTAGATGGTGTAATGGTTACGTTGCTGAATCTCACGCAGTTGACTGTGGTTCAAGTCCTGGACCCAGCGGCTTAAAATGCTGGGTATCTGTGCATGCATGCCCAGAATCCTGAGAGGAAAATAGAGGAGAAGGGATTGCAGTGTGGCCATCCTCTCCCTGGGAGGGTGGGGGGGGGGCATTGATTTCTCGCTTTCTGTTCTCTCTGTGTCTGTGTGTCGCTCTGGTGAGTGTATGTGGCCTATAGGAAAAATCTCTTTAAAAAAAATAAAAAAGATCCCACCTTCCTGATACTGCATTGTTTCCTGTATTCTAAAAGCATGCTGAATGCTTTCCATACCCTATCTCTCAGATGAGTCTGAAGCTTGGAGATTCTCAGTAAGTCATCCATATGGCAAGTGTAAGGCGTGTGGTCAGTGACCCAGCAGAGTGGAGCCCAGGCTGTCTGATGCCACAAGCTGAGCTCTGAACCACTGGCCTGCCACTAACCCTGTGTAGGAGACTGGGCCAGGCATTTCTGCATGAGCCTAGTCTCAGTGTGATCTGGGGTTTATCGTTTCCCCACCATCTTTCTTTTTTTTTTAAAACAAATTTTCAAGAATTTTTATTATTTTAAAATTTGACCAGAGAGGGAAAGTGAGAAAGCAAGCCACCATGTCTGGGACTTGAACTGTGGACAGCTACGTGGGAGTCCAGTGCCTTAACCAATACACTACCTGCCAATCCCTCCCCATCATCTGAAAATGGAATCATGCTGGGCCAGCAGGTGGTATAGTGGTTAAGGTGCCAGAATTCCCACATGGCCGACCACAGTTCGAGTCCTGGAACTGGAGGCTTGCTTGTGTACTCTCTCTTTCTGAAAAACAAAACAAAACAAAACAAAACAAACAAACAAACAAAAAAAGTGAAAAAAATAATAATGAAAAATAATAATTCTTTAAAAAATGGAATCATGCTAGGTCATTAGAACCCTTGCATTTAAATTCTTGTTCTCTGACAGCATCTCTTCGATATTTCAGGCTGAGGAAAAGGCAGATGCATTGAATAAGGAGCTGCTGATGACCAAGCAGAAGCTGATTGATGCAGAAGAGGAGAAAAGACGGCTGGAAGAAGAGTCTGCTCAGGTGAGGCAATTCTTCCCTCTCCTGTGCTTCCTCTGTGTCTTGCAGATCCCTGAGAGTTGGGAGTTCAGCTGGGGGTTTCCTGTTGGCACCAGAGAGCCCAGAGACCACTGGTTTTGGTTTCTCTCTGAAGACGTTATTTTTTTTGTTACTGAGTAAAGCATAATGGTTCTTAATAATCAAAGCCTAGAAAGAGGGGGAGGGTTATAGCCCATCCTTTGTTGGAGTGGGGGAAATTCCCGTGTATCGGCGTCTGAGGGAACAGCACAGCAGCTTAACATTTCTGCTGAAGGAAAACGCAGGTCACTGCAGGCCTGGCTCTCCCCTCCTTGTCCTGAAGTCACCCTCACAAAGCAAACTCTGGAAGGCTTGTGAGCCAGCACCTGACAGACACTGGGGGCACACCTGCAGCCACAGAAAAGCCTGTGGTGCTGTATGCCCTAGAGCAGGCACCTCACCCCCGTGGTCAGTGTGTGAGCTGACAAAGCACGTTCCACACGAATTGTATGGCCTCTCCTGAGCACCGTGTTGGCTTGTGCAGACTCCTCAGCTACGGTTCACAGTGGGTTGGGCTGTCTGGGAAGAACTGCAGCAGAAGCCCAGGCTGACATCTTCGAAGTTTTGACTGTTCTCTCCCTCTGCTCACATGGAAATCAGGGCTTTGTGCTGCCAAGTGTGAAGGAAGACATAGATGAATTATAGCCCTTCCAGAGTTAGGTCAGGTACTTTTTAGAAAGCCTAGCACTAAGAAGTTGGTGAACTTCCCTTATTTTTTCTTTAAAACAATTCACTTTTGTTTTTTTATGTGCACAGTTAAAAGAAATGTGCCGTCGGGAACTTGACAAGGCAGAATCTGAAATAAAAAAGAACAGTTCAATCATCGGCGACTACAAACAGGTGGGTCCCTGTGCCCCAGGGAGGAAAGGTGGCGCTGTGTACTCTGGAGCCCTCCTTCCCTCCAAATATAGGTGCTTTGCACTCTTCCATTGACGAGTGACTTCACTTACTCTCGACAGTAAAATAAAGAAAACAGTCCTTGTCTGGAAGGATTGTCTACATGTAGAATGCCTGACATGTTCCCTGGCATATATTTAATAATGAAAGCCAGTTATGTTTTCAGGAGTGATTCTGTGTGTGTGTGTGTGTGTGTGTGCGTGTGTGTGTGTGTGGTTGTATACTGGCCCTGTCTCTGGCTGGTTGAATTTTAGAAATATAACTGAATTGGTCTAACTCCTTCCTGTGCTGAGATCCCATGCTGACTTGTGAGTCTAGCAGTATTCAGAAACTAGTGGCCATTGAGGGAGTGGCAGATGGGTTTCTGGGAGTCCTGGGCCAATGGATACCCAGGTGGCACAGAGGAAGACCCTCTCCACATGCCTCTGAGCAGCTGTGGCCTACTTGGCACTGCTCTGATCTGCTCGGTATATTCCAACCTTCACTGCGCAGTGGACCCTGTGCACACCCATGCAGATGATTATGTGCTTAAGAGCCTGTCACTTCTTTTGTTTCTTTAGATTTGTTCTCAGTTGAGTGAAAGATTGGAGAAGCAGCAGACAGCCAACAAAGTAGAAATTGAGAAAATTCGGGTGAGTCTTCCTTTACCAGAGAGATTTTATAATACCCCTTTCATTTTATGGTCCTATTCAACACAACATATTTTGGGAGGGGGCAGTTGATTTCAGACCTGAGAAAACTGAAGAGTGCCTGATTAGGTGCTTGTCACAAGGCCTGGCTCGGTAATTGACATTGGAGACCGCCTGTTTTCTCTGGAAGGAGTGCAGATCAGGCCAAAAGAGCTTTACCTTTATCTCTCAAAGTGCAAGCACCCAAGATTTTCAAATGTCACTGGTAAGGAAGTTGACTGCTGCCATGCAGTGTCCAGGTGGAAGAGTCATACAGGTAAGTAGGCTTTGTGGGAGGTGGCACTATATAGGTCACATCACATGCTGTGACTGACACTTTTTTTTTAGAGAGATTTTGTTCTAAGGGCACGTGTGCTCACTGGAGAGATGGAGAGACAGAGAGACAGAAAGCGGTCATCCCCCAGGAGAAATGACCATGCCTCCTCATTCTCTTCTCTTCAGTTTTCCTCTTGAGATTTTGGACATGCATGCGCATATGCCCAGCATGAGTTTTAGACCTCCAAGTCCAGACATGAACCATAGTCAACTACGTGGGAGTCCAGGGACATAACCATACCACCACCTGCTGGTCCCAGTGACTGCCACACTTAACACCATTCTGTGGAATAGAAACACCCCTCCGGTGCACGAATTCCCTCTGCTGTCACTAATGCAGTTATTAATGAAGACTAAGTTTAAGTGTGGGGGAGGGGCGCAGCAGGTGGCATGGTGTTTAATGTACTTGACTCCCACATGGCCCACCACGGTTTGAGTCCTGAACCTGGAAGCTTGCTTTCTCATTCCCACCCCCTCGCTTTCTCTGGTGAGTATATGTGCCCTGTAGCAAATTTTAAAATAATCATAATAATGATAAATTAAGTAATTTAAAAATAAGTAAGGGGGGAAAATACTGTCCTTTTGGCCGGAATCACCATCTTCCAGTAATTCAACACAATGACAAACACAAAGGAAAAGAGGAGAGACACCAAATATGTTCTCTATGACTTTTAGAAAACATGGAGTGATTCCTTTGGCAGCATACATGCGAATCTACAAGAAAGGTGATATTGTAGACGTCAAGGGAGTGGGTGCTGTTCAAAAAGGAATACCCCACAAATGTTACCATGGCAAAACTGAAGAGTCTGCGATGTTACCCAGCATACTGTTGGCATTGTTGTAAATAAACAAGTTAAGGGCAAGATTCTTGCCGAGAGAATTAATATGCACATTGAGCATATTTAAGCATTCTAAGAGCAGGGACAGTTTTCTAGAACATATGAAAAATCAGAAAAAGAAGGAAGCCAAAGAGGAAGGTTCAGCTGAAGCACCATCCTGCTCTACCCAGAGAAGCACACTGTGTGAGAACCAATGGAAAGGAGCCTAAGCTTCTGGAACCTATCCCCAATGAATTCATGGCATGATGGGTGTTAAAAATAAACTAATCTATGGTCTATAAAAAAAAAGAAAAAGAAAAATCCCTTATAACCCTATAACCCACAGATAGCATTATTAACACTCCGGTGTATATTATTTCCATTTTGGTTCTGTGTTGTTGTGTTTTAGGTTTTTGGCCATAGGGCGCTACACTTATCAGAGAAAGTGAAAGGAAAAATAAGAATCCTCCCATGGGGGATAGCCACACTGCACTCTCTTCTTCATTCTCAGAATTTGGGGCATGCATACACACATGTATGGCATGATTTTCTAGCCCCTGGGTCCAGCACTTGGACCATGCTTCGCCATGTTGGAGTCTAGCGCCTTAACTATGATGCCAACTGCTGTCCCCTCTGTGTTGTTGTTTTTAAAATATATTTCTTTTCTTTATATATTTTTTAGAATTAATTTTATTTATTCATTCATTTATTTTAATTTGACCAAAGACAAAGAGAGAAGGAAAGTGGAAAAGCAAGCCAGCAGGCCCAGGACTCGAACAGTGGTCAGCCATGTGGGAATGTCCAGCACCTTAACCACCATGCCACCTGCTGGTCCCAAAATATATTTCTTTCATATGAGAGAGACAGAGACATAGACACCCTCAATAGGATCTCAGGCCATGACCTGCCTTTCTCTTCCCTTCTCCCAACCTTCAGCCAGCCAGGAGAGCACATGTGTGCCCAGCATGTACAGGTTGACCCAGGAACTGACCCCAGCTCTTCCATAAGGCTCTGACATCACCAGGTGGCGTGCTGCCTTCTGCTGAGCCACCATGCCTGGTCACATGCCATGTTTACAAGATTTTATTCATTTCTAAGATGCACTTTTTTCACATTTACATCTCTAAAATTGGGACATTTTATGACTGATGACTTTCTGTGGTTTTCTTGGCAGGGGTTTTGTTTGTTTGTTATTTTTAAAGATGGATATTTGCTATAAGGTACATACACTTGCCAGAGAGAAAGCAAGAAATCACTGCCTGGGGGATGGCCATGCCGCAGTCCTACACCTCCATTCTCCCCTTGGGATTTTGGGCACACACACATATATGCCTGGTGTGAGTGTTAAGCTGCTGGGTCCAGGACTCAAACCATGGCTGACTATGTGGGAGTCCAGTGACATAACCATTACACCGCCCCCCAGAGTATTTCCCTCGAGGGACATAAAATGATGTTTCTTACAGTCAGTGGCATCACGTGCTGATGAAATATGGTGTATACGCCATGTATGGTTTAATGATATTTTATACACTACTTGTGTCTTACTTCAACCAGCATATAGCCATTTTTCATGTTATGAAAAATTCCTCAAAAGCCTTTAGAGCGACCTGCTTCCTTGTGTAAACACAGGGCAGTGTATTTCATTGCTCCTGGTGTTAAGAGACTTTATATGCTCTCCCCCCTTTTCTCCAGTCTCCCAAGTGCCGAACATCTTTGTATGTAAATCTTGCCGTAGTCATAGCTTCATTTTCTTAGCCTGGGTTCCTGGAAGGGAGGTTACTGGATCCAGACACATATATTTGTCTTGCTTTTAATACGTCACCGGGTGGCTTTCCCAATAGGTTATCTGCCAGTTTTCAAAGAATGGGCAGGTTTTTAGGAGCAGTAGTGCTAAACAGAGAAGCTGTCCCTTAAAGGAAATGCATACACCTTCCTAAAGGGCTGATTTCCCTTCTCTGCTTCTTCACATCTGATGTTCCATTTCAGCAAAAAGTAGATGACTGTGAGCGCTGCCGGGAGTTCTTCAGCAAAGAAGGGCGTGTCAAGGGCGTCAGCTCAACTAAGGAGGTTTTAGACGAGGACACAGACGAAGAGAAGGAGACACTCAAGAACCAGCTGAGAGAGATGGAGCTAGAACTGGCACAGACCAAGCTCCAGTTGGTGGAAGCCGAGTGTAAGATACAGGTAACAGCAGGGTCAGCTTGTGCTGATGTGCAGTAGCAACCCCAGGGGGATCTTCATGGCTTGGTGGATTTTTTCCCCTTTAGATCTTTGACCATATTCCTGATGGGAAAAAGCCCGGTACTTGCTACTTACTAGTCATGTGTAGGCAGTGCTCAGCCTGTCTCAAGGATTTCGACTCAGTTGTATTTAGATTTTTTTTTGGTGGGACACAGAATGTGTGCTTGAAACTCATAGCTCCCCACCACAGAACTCTGAACCCGGGTTAGTTAGCTGCCCCCCTACCTCTCATATACAAACAGAAATGATGAATAGTCCCCTGTATGGTAGGCTGTTTTGATGACAGAGTAAGAGTACACAGAAAAGGCTCAGTGTGGGGATGGGGCATCCAACTCCCGACACTCCTGTAGCTTTCTGACCTGGGGCGTTCCACCTGAGTTACCTGAGCCTCCGTTCCTGATGAAGAGCCAGCATTTTGCTGGTCGTCTTTACACTGCCTTGCCAGTCCCGCCAGCATGAATACTGAGCACAAGGGAGGCACTCTGCACTGTCTGTGGAATCTCAGGACTGACACTTGGGGCTGGGGCTCTCTCACACCCATGCACTGGGCATCTGCTCGTTGCCAGGCCCAGTTCTGGGTGTTGGACTGCAGAGCTAAGCCCTGACTTTTGTGACTGCCCAGGACAATCAAGACAGGCCTCATCAAGGCAGCAGTATCAGAGCTGGGGCAAAAGATAAGCAGGGGTGGCAGCTGCAGAAAACAGTGAGCATCCAGCGGAATGAGTGACATGAGCAGGAGCACAGGGAGGAGAGGGCCACCCAACAGGGAGTCAGGAAGGCCCTGTAGTGTAGAAAGGGACAAGGTGGGGCAAGCTTGGGACAGAAGGGAATGCGGGCCCAGGTTACGAAGCATTTCGAGTGCCGTGTTGGATTGGACTGTCAGGGCTAAAGCCACAGCTGTCTGCCTGGTGTGCACTGGTGAGCTGCAGTAGGAGACATTAAATTTCTGTGCGGTTGTTTTATAAACCACATCAAAATGAAGCCCTGTGGCCCTAACTAGGAAAGCTCTCAAATCTTCAGGCTTTTCAGACTTTCTGTGTGAGTTTGAGTAAACAGACTGAGTGCCTGCCTCCTCCCTAGGAGCCCACATCCTCATGCATGTTGATCCTCTTACAGGACTTGGAGCACCATTTAGGCCTCGCCCTCAACGAGGTGCAAGCAGCCAAGAAGACATGGTTTAACCGAACACTGAGCTCTATCAAGACGGCCACCGGGGTTCAAGGAAAAGAGACTTGCTGAGCAGCTCCTGCCTCCAGACACCTTCAGAAAACACGACACCTTTTGTTGCCTTCTTTGGCCAGATGTGTGATCCTGTGACTTGTCCCAGGACCAGGATGTACCTAAGTCAGGTCTGGATGCGTGTTGGTAGGTCACTGGACCAGAGCTCACGAGGCAGCAGCCTCTGGGGTAAGGCTTCCCTAACTGACACTCACAGGCCTGCGAGCTCAGTGGTGGCTCTGAACACTCCGGAAGTCGCTCCTCGGTGGGCTGCCCAACCCAAAGGCTGAGTTTATGGCATCAGAGTTTGGGGATCCTTCTGTCTGTCAATTTTTTTCTAAACCTTCAAATTTTTTTTAAATATACATATTATATATATTGGGGGTGGGGCAAGGGATCAGAAACTCAAATGATTCTTACCTGCTTCAGTGCCAGCAGAAAGTCCCCCAGGGTAGACGTGGGAAAAGCGCTTTGTTTCAACATGAGGGTTTCAGAGTTGAAGTTGAAGCCACCTAGTTTTGTTAAACTACACAATGCATAGGTTTTTGGTTTGGTATTACTCACATTTCTGATCCATTCTGTGCAACTCTCATACTTCTTTTTGTTTGTTTGTTTGTTTGTTTTGTTTTTAGCACTAGCTGCCAGAATAACTCAGCAAATCTGGGTGGGCGACTTGGCTGTGAGGCTGATAAATCCTAACGTGGACAAATCTTATTTTGCTGTGTGTGTGTGTGTGTGTGTGTGTGTGTGTGTGTGTAAAAATACCTTTCCCACTGTACCCACTTGACAGTGTTGAGATCCCAGACCAGGACTGTTGATCTGCACCGCTGAATTATGTGGTTATTTGGGCACTTAATTTCACTCAAGATGTATGGGGCCCTGATGTCCTCCCTGACATATGGGAGCTCCCAGATTCCTAGTGTTTTTGCACAACAGGTTGTACTAGTGAGACTGACCGACCTGCGTGTCTGTGTAAATGTGAGGTATGCACGATGTACATGCCACAAGGTCCCCATTCTGCCAGCCTGGTCCCCGTCTGACTTTCTGGGCTTCTGGGCCCTCCCCAGAGTATAGCTGGGTGCAGACCTCACTGTCCAGACAGGCTGCAAGTTCTTATTCCAGAACTATGGGATGGAGGGTTTAGCACCTTTAAAACAAAACAAAACTTTGACTTTTAATTTATATAGTGATAAGCTGACAAGCTGTCTCACAGATAATTTTGTCCTCTGCATTCACTGTGGAGGTGGCTGGTTACAAGAGGCACTGGTTTGTATATAAAGACACCTGGGTTGTTTGTATCTCTTTGTTGCTGTACTAACGCTTGCCGAGGTCATCTGTGATTGGGGATATATAACAAGTGGCAAACCCCCCGCCCCCAAAACACCCTCATCGCTGCTGTGTCTTTCTTGTTCAGTTACCGAAACAGCTGTAAGCCCCATCTAATACTAGGTGTGTGGACATTGTGCTAGGGTAGTTTCAGTGTGTCAACTTTGAATTGAAATATAAACCAGTAAAATTGTATTACTGTTCCTTTTGTTGGTTTTATTTTAACAGCATATTCATTAAATATTTTGGTACAAACAGCATTGCTTTGTAGAAACCAGTTTTATCATGATGTGCTCCTGCCCCAACCCCTACCTGCAGAGTCAGAGCAGACCACCCTCTGTTGGGGCAGAGGGCCAGCGCCGTCCCCATGGGTGTGTGTGTGAGCCGAGGCAGCACCTCCCACCCGTTATGTGAAGGAGCTACATCGTGCCAGCCCTGTGCAAGGTTGATGTTTCTGCGTTCATTGTGAGCACTGTTCCCCTCTGAGAAATACAGCACTGTGGTAATAGGGTTAGACACACTTTTTGTGCTTGTGGTTTAGAGAAGTCTTACAGGAAGTAAGGGTAGCTAGGCCTCGGACATCATCTCACCAGGCAGAGATGGGAGACGGAATTGGAAGGACAGAATGTGAATGCGCTGAAGAGCAGAAGCAGGTGAGGGCGGGGGCTCTAAGTATGCTCTGCTCAAAATTATGGGAAAATGAGGACATGGGCAGGTATTTTCAGAAGTTTTTGGGGGTTTTTTTTGGAGAGGTTTTTCACTATAGGGCGTGTGCACTCGCCACACAGAGAGAGACATAGAGACAGAAAGCGAGAAATCACTCCCCAGGGGGGATGGCCACGCCACAGTCCCTTCTCCTCCATTCTCCTCTTGGGATCTTGGGCACGCACGCACACGTGCCCAGCGTGAGTTTTAAGCCACCGGGTCCGGGACGTGAACCGCGGTCGACTACGTGGGAGTCCAGCGACATAGCCATTAAGCTAACTGCTGGTTCCCTTTTTTTTTTTTTTAACAATTATTTTAAAATTTGCTATAGGGGATGCACACTCATGTGAGAGAGAGAGAAAGTGAGAAAGCAAGCCACCAGGTTTGGGACTTGAACCAGAGTCAGCCATGTGGTGGTCCAGTGCCCCAACCACATCACCTGCTGGCCCCAAAAGTTCTTTACCTTTCATTGGCAATTCTCCCACACACTTGCACAGAGGGATGGGTCTTTCCTCCTTTACTCCCTGCCCCCTTCTGCATTGAGAAGAAGGGCCATACTTCACTTAACCCTGAAGATCTTGCCCCCACTTGACTCCACCTCTGCCAGCCTATGAACGGATGCAAGCTGGGAGGCAGAGCAAGGCTTCCCACCTATGAGAAGGGACGACAGTGGGTGGGCCCTGCTCTGTCTTACTTCAATGCACAGAGGCTGAGAAGGGTGCAGCCTGTGGCCGGTGCTCTTGCACAGGCCAGGATAGCAGCTCTGAGCGCAGCCAGAGCCCTCTGATGCCGGAACCTGTATTTCTGAGATGTGCACTCCTGGTCTGCCTGCTACATGGAGGGACTCTACAGAAATCCTCATGCATTGGCCTGGAGAAAGGAGTCCATGCAATGGTCAGCCTAAAAGGACCTCTGTAAGGGGCCTGCCTTTGGGGAAGACTTCCCTGGTTGAGAATAAGATTGAGAGGAATAACTACATCATATGGTAAGTACTGAATCTACAAACGGGTTCCTGTAGGAAAAGGGAGGGTCTGTGTCATTGCAAGGAAAACAAGTGGTGGTGTGTCGTGGACATCTGCATGGGTGACGAGGGCATCTGCTGGGTAAAGAAGTGAGAGGACAGCATGTAGCTGGGAGAAACGGTGGTTAACGCTGTCATCTGCTTGGGCAGAGTAGTGAGATGAGACTGGGTCAGTAGGCTGGGGCCGTGGCAGGAAGTTGAAGGTGATGGGGAACACTTAGTCTCAAGCCAGCTTGCACTTTGGGATTTCCCTGCCAATCCTTTAGGAAGGAAAGTGAGAGAAAAAGAAGTTCAGGTGGTAGAAATGAGCAGAGGAGGCCTAGGAACTGCCATGAAGGAGAGAGGACATGGGAATGGGATGGGACTGTGGCTGGCCAGAGAAGGATCAAGCATCTCCAGGCTGTGAGGGCAAGACCGAAGACCGGTCATGGGGTCTGGCAACAGGAGGCTGTTGGTGTGTGGTCGGCGTAGCTGCCTGTGCATGGGAGGAGGCAGAGTTGACCACATGCACCTGGAGAGGTTTTTGGTTTGTTTTCCTATAGGGTGCATGCACTTGCCAGAAAGAGACACACACAAAAAAAGAAATCAACCCCTTAGGGGGGAATGGCCATGCCGCAGTCCCTTCCCCTCCATTCTCCTCTCGGGATCTTGGGCATGCACACACACACATGCACACGGCGTGAGTTTAAGCTACTGGGCCCGGGACTCAAACCATGGTTGACTACATGTGAGTCCAGCGACATAGCCATTATGCCAACTGCTGGTCCCATGCACTTGAAATAAACCTGGCTGCAAAGAGGCCCTGACCTCGGCCACGTTCTCTCCCTGCTGTGCCCTGGGCAGCTCACAGGATTGGTGATGATGCAGCCTGGGCTGATCTCAAGAGTCTCAGTCACAATTCTTGGGGAACAACTTGGAATGAAAGGCAAAAAATGTGGCCCCTAGGTCTCCCCAGCTCTCCTGAATTTCAAGTCCCTGCGGCAGGGTATCAAAAGAGAGAGGAATGGAGGAAGCCAGGACACACCCACGTCCAAAGTGCCCCATGTGTAAAACCAGAGTTCTGCAGGGAGTGCAGTAGGTGACATTGGCACCTTGCTGCCCTTGACAAGTAACTTCGCTGCTCAGAGTTGTATGTGAATCTGATACTGGAATTTGAATCCCCTTCTAAGACTCACTTGGGGGACACAATGGGAAAGGGCATGATTGGAACCACCAAGAATGAGACACTCACCCCTCAGAACAGCAGGTCTGCGCGCGCGGTCCTCTCCCTGCGTGTTACAGGGATGAAACAAGGGCTCACAGCGAGGTTCCTAGCCCAGGCCACACAACTGGGTGTTACCCAGACCAACTCCAATGGCAGCGCTTCACTGCAATGGATGTGGAAACTCAGGATCCAGACCTGGGCTCAAAGCCAGACCTCAAGTTTGGACGTACACCCCACTGAACCTGAGCACTTTTATGGGTCCATGTAGCGACTCAGTGGCTGCCTTCTTGGGGGTTGCTGAGTTACTGCATGGCCCTGGGCTGGTTCATGCATCCTTCCCACTGTCAGAGCCCTCTCTGAGGTGTAAGTGATGTCATTCCCTGATTCAAAAGCAAAGATCAGTGACCCAGGAGTCCCCTTTCCTACCATGCACCCTCCACCTTCCCTACCAGGGCCCAAGAGAGAAAAACTATGCTCGCTCCTTCCTCTCAGTTCTGCCTCAACAACCTGTCTCTTGGGAGGTGAACCCAGTGCCAGGTATGGACAAAAAAGCCTGGCTCCCCCTCTAGGCCAGAAAGGCAACACTGGAGACAAGGATGGGACCAGCAGTGAGGTGGCCCAGCAGGCTCTCCTTTTGGCAGTCCTAGTGAGGGTTAAATGCAAACACATGGTGTGCAGGGGAAGGGCAGAGGGCCACCTGGATTACAAGTGAGGCAGAGAACAGCCAGTGCTATGCGCACGCAGCTCTTCGCTTACCTGGAGGCGAGGCAGCAACAGCAGCCCCCTGGCCTGGCTCCCTCTCAGGCCACCTTCCTGGGCCACTACGTTGTCCCTCCTTCCTGTCCTCATCCTTGGTCAACTTCCACTGCAGTCTGGGTTCTCAAGAGTTGGGAGCCTCCCAGGAGCTAGGAAGCAGGGTGGGGAGGAGGGGCTGCAGCTCCAGATTCCAATTCCTGTTGCCCCCGGAAGCTCCACACCCTTGGAAAGCCTCTGAGCCTTGGATATTCCTGATCTGTAATGTCAATATTGCCAACCCCTGGGAATGATATAAGGATTAAGAAAGGGTATGTGTGAAGCCAGCAGACTGAAGCACTGGATCCCATATAGCAGAATCCTCAATTTGAGTCCTGGACCCGGTGGCTAGAAAGGCACGCCGGGCACGTATATGAGTTTATGCCCCAAATCCCAAGAGACTGGAGAACAGGATTGTGGTTTGGCCATCCCCCTGGCTGGGGGTGGGGTGGGGTGGGGGGGGGGGGGGTGGGGGAGTAATTTATTTCTTCTCTCTCCAGTGAGTACACGCACATACAGTGGCAAAAATTTTTTAAAAGGAAAAAAGGGTATGTGAAAAGCACCTGTAAATTCTGAGGAGTGGGGTTCTGTACTCAGCATGTAACAGCATAACTCACTACACCAGGTTGAAGCTTCATGTTCAGTGAAATTTTTGCACCATCCATGGAGGTTTTTTTTTTTTGGGGGGGGGAGGGGTTTGCTTGCCAGAAAGACAGAGAGATAATAGAAAGTGAGCAATCACCCCCCCCAGGGGGGATGGCCACGCTGCAATTCCTTCTCCTCCATTCCCCTCTCGGGATCTTGGGCACGCACGCACATGTGCCCGGCATGAGTTTTAAGCCACTGGGTCCAGGACACGAACCACGGTTGACTATATGGGAGTTCAGCAACATAGCTATTATGCTAACTGCTGGTCCCGAAAAGCTGAGTTTTAACGAGTGGGGATTAGGGGCCAGTGGCACTGTCAAGAAGGCAACTGCTCCTGTCAAGCCCAGGGGCCTATGTCGCTCTGCACAGAAGGCAGCTCCTGCAATACGCACTAAGCTGGACTCAGGGCCAGGGATGGGGGCCTACCCTGGCACCATTCACCAAAGTCAGGCCCTGCCCTCTCCTCCCCTCCCCTCCCGTCCCCTCCTCTCTCCCTTCCCTTCCCTCCC